TGGGACATGTGACAGACGACACGCTATCTGTGGCCATGTGACACCCCATTCATGCCATGCAACACCATTCATGCCATGCAACACCATCCATGCCATGCAACACCATCCATGCCATGCAACACCATTCATGCCATGTAACACCACCCATGCCATGTAACACCATCCATGCCATGCAACAGCATTCATGCCATGCAACACCATTCATGCCATGCAACACCATCCATGCCATGCAACAGCATTCATGCCATGCAACACCATCCATGCCATGCAACACCATTCATGCCATGCAACAGCATTCATGCCATGCAACACCATTCATTCATGCCATGCAACAGCATTCATGCCATGCAACACCATCCATGCCATGCAACACCATTCATGCCATGCAACACTATTCATGCTATGCAACACCATCCATGCCATGCAACAGCATTCATGCCATGCAACACCATTCATGCCATGCAACACCATCCATGCCATGCAACACCATTCATGCCATGCAACACCATTCATGCCATGCACCACCATTCATGCCATGCAACACCATTCATGCCATGCAACACCATTCATGCCTTGAAACACCATTCATGCCATGCAACACCATTCATGCCATGCAACACCATCCATGTCATGCAACACCATTCATGCCATGCAACACCATTCATGCCATGCAACACCATTCATGCCATGTAACACCATTCATGCCATGCAACACCATTCATGCCATGCAACACCATTCATGCCATGTAACACCATTCATGCCATGCAACACCATTCATGCCATGTAACAACATTCATGCCATGCAACACCATTCATGCCATGCAACACCATTCATGCCATGCAACACCATTCATGCCATGCAACACCATTCATGCCATGCAACACCATTCATGCCATGCAACACCATTCATGCCATGTAACACCATTCATGCCATGCAACACCATTCATGCCATGCACCACCGTTCATGCCATGAAAAAACCATTCATGCCACGCAACACCATTCATGCCATGCAACACCATTCATGGCATGTAACACCATTCATGCCATGTAACACCATTCATGCCACGCAACACCATTCATGCAATGCAACACCATTCATGCCATGCAGCACCATTCATGCCATGTAACACCATCCATGCCATGTAACACCATCCATGCCATGCAACACCATCATGCCATGCAACACCATTCATTCATGCCATGCAACACCATTCATGTCATGCAACACCATCCATGCCATGCAACACCATTCATGCCATGCAACACCATTCATGCCATGCAACACCATTCATGCCATGCAACACCATTCATGCCATGCAACACCATTCATGCCATGCAACACCATTCATGCCATGCAACACCATTCATGCCATGCAACACCATTCATGCCATGCAACACCATCCATGCCATGCAACACCATTCATGCCATGCAACACCATTCACACCATGCAACACCATCCATGCCATGCAACACCATTCATGCCATGCAACACCATTCATGCCTTGAAACACCATTCATGCCATGCAACACCATTCATGCCATGCAACACCATCCATGTCATGCAACACCATTCATGCCATGCAACACCATCCATGCCATGCAACACCATTCATGCCATGCAACACCATTCATGCCATGCAACACCATTCATGCCATGCAACACCATTCATGCCATGCAACACCATCCATGCCATGCAACACCATTCATGCCATGCAACACCATTCATGCCATGCAACACCATTCATGCCATGCAACACCATTCATGCCATGCAACACCATTCATGCCTTGAAACACCATTCATGCCATGCAACACCATTCATGCCATGCAACACCATCCATGTCATGCAACACCATTCATGCCATGCAACACCATTCATGCCATGCAACACCATTCATGCCATGTAACACCATTCATGCCATGCAACACCATTCATGCCATGTAACACCATTCATGCCATGTAACACCATTCATGCCATGCAACACCATTCATGCCATGTAACAACATTCATGCCATGCAACACCATTCATGCCATGCAACACCATTCATGCCATGCAACACCATTCATGCCATGCAACACCATTCATGCCATGCAACACCATTCATGCCATGCAACACCATTCATGCCATGTAACACCATTCATGCCATGCAACACCATTCATGCCATGCACCACCGTTCATGCCATGAAAAAACCATTCATGCCACGCAACACCATTCATGCCATGCAACACCATTCATGGCATGTAACACCATTCATGCCATGTAACACCATTCATGCCACGCAACACCATTCATGCAATGCAACACCATTCATGCCATGCAGCACCATTCATGCCATGTAACACCATCCATGCCATGTAACACCATCCATGCCATGCAACACCATCATGCCATGCAACACCATTCATTCATGCCATGCAACACCATTCATGTCATGCAACACCATCCATGCCATGCAACACCATTCATGCCATGCAACACCATTCATGCCATGCAACACCATTCATGCCATGCAACACCATTCATGCCATGCAACACCATTCATGCCATGCAACACCATTCATGCCATGTAACACCATTCATGCCATGCAACACCATTCATGCCTTGAAACACCATTCATGCCATGCAACACCATTCATGCCATGCAACACCATCCATGTCATGCAACACCATTCATGCCATGCAACACCATCCATGCCATGCAACACCATTCATGCCATGCAACACCATTCATGCCATGCAACACCATTCATGCCATGCAACACCATTCATGCCATGCAACACCATCCATGCCATGCAACACCATTCATGCCATGCAACACCATTCATGCCATGCAACACCATTCATGCCATGCAACACCATTCATGCCATGCAACACCATTCATGCCTTGAAACACCATTCATGCCATGCAACACCATTCATGCCATGCAACACCATCCATGTCATGCAACACCATTCATGCCATGCAACACCATTCATGCCATGCAACACCATTCATGCCATGTAACACCATTCATGCCATGCAACGCCATTCATGCCATGTAACACCATTCATGCCATGTAACACCATTCATGCCATGCAACACCATTCATGCCATGTAACAACATTCATGCCATGCAACACCATTCATGCCATGCAACACCATTCATGCCATGCAACACCATTCATGCCATGCAACACCATTCATGCCATGCAACACCATTCATGCCATGCAACACCATTCATGCCATGTAACACCATTCATGCCATGCAACACCATTCATGCCATGCACCACCGTTCATGCCATGAAAAAACCATTCATGCCACGCAACACCATTCATGCCATGCAACACCATTCATGGCATGTAACACCATTCATGCCATGTAACACCATTCATGCCACGCAACACCATTCATGCAATGCAACACCATTCATGCCATGCAGCACCATTCATGCCATGTAACACCATCCATGCCATGTAACACCATCCATGCCATGCAACACCATCATGCCATGCAACACCATTCATTCATGCCATGCAACACCATTCATGTCATGCAACACCATCCATGCCATGCAACACCATTCATGCCATGCAACACCATTCATGCCATGCAACACCATTCATGCCATGCAACACCATTCATGCCATGTAACACCATTCATGCCATGCAACACCATTCATGCCTTGAAACACCATTCATGCCATGCAACACCATTCATGCCATGCAACACCATCCATGTCATGCAACACCATTCATGCCATGCAACACCATCCATGCCATGCAAACACCATTCATGCCATGCAACACCATTCATGCCATGCAACACCATTCATGCCATGCAACACCATTCATGCCATGCAACACCATCCATGCCATGCAACACCATTCATGCCATGCAACACCATTCATGCCATGCAACACCATTCATGCCATGCAACACCATTCATGCCATGCAACACCATTCATGCCTTGAAACACCATTCATGCCATGCAACACCATTCATGCCATGCAACACCATCCATGTCATGCAACACCATTCATGCCATGCAACACCATTCATGCCATGCAACACCATTCATGCCATGTAACACCATTCATGCCATGCAACGCCATTCATGCCATGTAACACCATTCATGCCATGTAACACCATTCATGCCATGCAACACCATTCATGCCATGTAACAACATTCATGCCATGCAACACCATTCATGCCATGCAACACCATTCATGCCATGCAACACCATTCATGCCATGCAACACCATTCATGCCATGCAACACCATTCATGCCATGCAACACCATTCATGCCATGTAACACCATTCATGCCATGCAACACCATTCATGCCATGCACCACCGTTCATGCCATGAAAAAACCATTCATGCCACGCAACACCATTCATGCCATGCAACACCATTCATGGCATGTAACACCATTCATGCCATGTAACACCATTCATGCCACGCAACACCATTCATGCAATGCAACACCATTCATGCCATGCAGCACCATTCATGCCATGTAACACCATCCATGCCATGTAACACCATCCATGCCATGCAACACCATCATGCCATGCAACACCATTCATTCATGCCATGCAACACCATTCATGTCATGCAACACCATCCATGCCATGCAACACCATTCATGCCATGCAACACCATTCATGCCATGCAACACCATTCATGCCATGCAACACCATTCATGCCATGCAACACCATTCATGCCATGCAACACCATTCATGCCATGTAACACCATTCATGCCATGCAACACCATTCATGCCATGCAACACCATCCATGCCATGCAACACTATTCATGCCATGCAACACCATTCATGCCATGCAACACCATTCATGCCATGCAACACCATTCATGCCATGCAACACCATTCATGCCATGCAACACCATTCATGCCATGCAACACCATTCATGCCATGCTACACCATTCATGCCACCTGCTTCTGCTACGCCCACCACCAGTGCTCACCCTCACCCTATTTCCCTCAGTGCGGGCCCCACATGCGTCACATAATAGTCCGCACTCGCCCACTGGGGGGGGGAGATTTTGGGTGGCAGCAGCAAGTAGGGCGGCAGCAGCGGTCGCCGCCCTGTGAGCAGCCCAGTAGCCACATGCCCTGAGAGGCGGGCGAGGCGGCGCAGGCGGACGGCGAGGAGCGGCGCAGGGAAGTAGTTGGGCGGCACGAGGAAAGAGTTGGGGGGGAGAATGGGAATGATGGGGAGGAAGGGGGCGAGATGGGCGATGAAGAAGGGGGCGTCAAAGATGTCGGCGAAGGAGCTGCACACAGGGGGGGTTGGAGCGGAAATTAGGGGGCGGATGGAGATGAGAGGGGATGCACGTGGGAGACAGGAGTTTGAGCGGTGAGGGAATGGTTGGTTGGTGAAATGGCAGTGCATTGCGGGACCGTGCCCAGGTCATACTCAGAGGCAGCTGGGGAAACAAATGATGGAGGCAGGTCAGAGGAGCAGGAGGGGAAGTAGCAGAAGCAGAGAACGTAGAGGGGTTGATGTGATGAGGGGTGTGCGTACCTGGAGTCGTTCCACACTCTGTTGAGCAGCAGCGTGGGCAGCACGAGGGTGGCGTTCAGCAGCGCTGCCACCGCCACTGCATTGCACACCTGACGGCAGAGACACATGAAACAGGGACAGCACGGTTGTGCGTGCATGCATGAATGCATCGCTGCATGCGTGGACAGATGAAGAGATGACATGTGCATGCTTTCTCAAGGCTAACATAGCAGAGGAGAATTTCCAGTTGAGACGAAAAGCAACACCAGCTCATCAGCGTTCGTGCCTTGTCTGAGCCACGTGAGCCACGTGCCCCTCTCAGGAAAGGGAAGAGACTAATGCGGAAGAGGAACAACGTGACAGGAGTTATAGTCCTGGCGAGCACGTCGAATCCTCGACCCAAGGCTCTGCAGCAGATGTCGACGACGAACGTCGCCCTGCAGGTGGCAGAGGGACTGTGCGGGGAACTCCAAGATCCAGGGGGAGGAACCTGCCACCAGTTCCGCAGGTTGGGGATGTGCTGGGCAACAACCCCCAACCATGCCGTTCCACATCCTTCGCGCACCCTGCAGTCCTCTGCCTTGCTTACGCCGATGACATTACGTTCATCGACCAGCCCGTCGACTGCACATCTGCCTTCCCTTCCGCCACTTCACTACCGCTCGTGCCGGCCTTGGCCCCATCCATAACCCCGAGAAGTGTTCTGCGTAGTCCACTACGCGTCCAGCGCCCGACCATCCCCTTCTGTGAGGACGGCCTGCGGGTGCTCGGCAGTCACATTGGCCCGCCAGAGGGGGCCGCGGCCTTCCTTCGCTCCCAGCTCGCCTCCCTTGCCAGCCCCTTGGCCACTATGAACCCTCAAGTGGCGTCACTGCTCCTGACTCGGTGCCTTACACGCCGGGTCTCCTACCTCCTTCGTACCACCCCCTTAAATCTCCTCCCGCATGATGAGTGGTACCGCTGGGGCCAGCGCCTGTTTACCACTCTCCTGCAGGCGTGTGGGCTGCAGCCCCCCCAAGGAGAGGAGGAGGAGACGCGAGTCTGGGCCCAGGCGTCGCTACCGCGGTCCCTGTGGGCACTTGGTCTGACGGACCCAACGGCGCAACGTCCCCACTCCTTCTTCACCAGCATAACCATGGCCCTTGCGCTCCTCGTCTCTGCCCGAGCCGCATGACAGGTCCTTGCGCAAGGCCGTGGGGCCCCTCACACCCCCTTCACCAGCCCTATCTCTCTCCATACCTGCCTGGCGGAGCGTGAGGCTGCCCTCCGGCCGAGCGGACTCGAGCTGTTGCAGTCGGAGCGTGCCGTATCCTCAGACCTGCCCCTCCAGCACCGGCTCTCCTTTGAGGTCCAGGCCGCGAGGTATGCCCCTCCTAGTGGAGGCAAGCCGGTGCATGGAGCTGAACCCAAACTGCGGTCACATGCTGCGGCTCTACTCCCTTACGGGGTATGGAGCCGGGAATTGGCTCCTTGCAATTCCCTTGCTCCCCTCCCAGTTTCGGCAGCGCTGGTCGGTAAACTACCAGCGTGGTCAGGCGCTCAACTACCTGGGTAAGGTGAAGGAGGCGTCTCCGGCAGAGTGGCCCCCTCTCGGCGCCCCCGATGAAGGCATGTCCCTCAGGGACTGCTTCTCGGTATGCTCGCTATGGAGCTCCCTTAGGTCCGTGTGATGTGTAGCCTGACTGCCTTTGCCTGAACTCACCTCATACACCTCGACATGTACCCACGTTCACATGAATACAAAGGACCGCTTGAGAGAGCAGGGCTGGGCCACATCATACAGCTGCCCACTCGCTCCTCACTCCGCATGTCCTCGCACTCACCCCCCCCTGCCTTCTCTTACTTCCCCCTTCAACTCGTCGCTGTATTAGCCTTCCTCTCTCTTCTCTCCCTCTCAGGGTTGCGTGCGTGAATGTGGTGCAGTGGTTGCTCATACCCACCTGGTGAGCCACTTCACTCCCCGCACGCCTCTTCACCCCCTCACTCTGCTTGCAGTCTCAAAGTGTGGGACGCGCCAGCATCCATGTTGAAAAATGCGTGTATTGCGTTTTATACGCTAGCGTATATACGCTATACGCGGAGGTTTGGGATCCAATACGGCAGGAATACGGCTGCCCGGGCAGCGGAATTTTTTTGCCTGGGCAGGCAAAACAAACCGGCGGGCAGCCGGGAGAGGGGAGAGGGGCACAGGGGGAGGGGCAGGGCATCAAGGTTGACTTTTTTTTCTTCATTAGAATAACTTAACACAGGCATTTGTCACATCAAGAGTTTATCCAGGACCACATTCCCCCCCCCCAACACATCCCAGAAAAAATCCACTAGCCCAACCCCCCCTGCCACTGCTAGCACTGCTGCTACTACTTCTACAGCTGCTGCAGCCACTCTCGCCCACTACTGCTGCTGACTGGTCCACTGCTGCTGGTGAGGGGGTGGACGAAAGAGCACAGGTGAAATTTTCTGAGAGTTCGCGATGTCGCGAACTCGCCCAAAAAAAAAAATGAATTTAAAAAAAAAAAGTCGCCGGGCAGCCTCGATATTGCGTATCGCGTATTCCAAGCGTATCAGCGTATTGCGTATATTCGCAAGCGAATATACGCAATGCGCAAAGCCTGCTTTGCATTTTTTCCAGCATAGGCCAGGATCAAGACGAGCAGGGGTGCATGGGAGGTAGGGTAGTGCACTGCTAGTGAGTGCTGCATACACACCCCCTGTGTGAAAAAGGTGAACTCAGAAAAGTTGATAAGAGGGAAAGCACAAGGGTTTACATAGGAATGTGAGGAAAGGAGGAAGGGAGGGTTGGTTGGGAGTTGGCCAAGGTTATTGGCCCCCACCAATAATTCTTGTTGGGATTATTGGTGGTCCAATAATTCTGGTGGGAAATATTGGGGGTCCCAAATAATTGTGGACCCAACCAAATTGGGAACCCAACCTCCAATTACAGTTATTACAACCTAATAGTAGTGGAGTGCATAAGTCTACTCAAGTCTAACAAATCTATGTAGACTAGTGAATATAGTATGATATTCTAACACAACCCCTTAGTCTGCATAGAGAGAGAAGTCTTCAAGCGGTGAATGGAAGCAACACCTCAATCAGGGAGGAGGCGGGCGGCACGTGGTGAGTTTGCCCGAGGGAAGTGCTGCTGAGGGTGGCGCGTGGTGCTGTCGCCGGAGGAGGACGCGGGCGGCGCATGAAGCAACCGCCGGAGGACACAGGCGGCGCATGAAGCTGCCGTCGGAAGAGGACGCGGGCAGCGCATGAAGCTGCCGCTGGAGGAGGGCGCGGGCGGCGCGTGCTGCTGCCACCAGAGGAGGAGGTGCTGGTGCTGCTGCTGCCGGCGGCATGTGCGGCTGCCGCCGGAGTAGGTGCTGCTGCTGCTGCGGGCGGCGCGGGCGGCTGCCGCCGGAGGAGGAGCTGCTACGGGCGGCGCATGCTGCTGCCGCCGGGGGAGGAGAGGTGCTGCTGCTGTTGCGGGCAGCGCATGCTGCTGCCGCCAGAGGAGATGCTGTCGCTGCTGCGGGCGGCGCGTGGTGCTGCCGCCGGAGAAGGACATGCTGCTACTGCTGCGGGCGGAGCGTACGGCTGCCGCCGGAGGAGGAGGTGCTGCTGCTGCGGGCGGCTCGTGCTGCTGCCGTCGGAGGAGGAGGTGCTGCTGCTGCTGCGGGCGGCGCGTGCGGCTGCCGCCGAAGGAGGAGGTGCTGCTGCTGCGGGCGGCGCGTGCGGCTGTCGCCGGAGGAAGAGGTGCTAGTGATGCTGCTGCTGTTGGTGCATCCTTATGGCTTGCACTCGGCTTGTCGTCCTTGTTTGTGTGTGTGCATGCATGGCATGGAATGACTTGTGAGTCTATGTCATTGCTATCTAGTGCTTATGTGTGTGTTTGAATGGTGTATCACAATGTGGTTTCTATCGGTCAAGACAATAGCGAGTTTTCACAACTCGCAAGTCGTCGTTTGCGTGTCGCATGTGTTTTTCTATTTTGTCAAGTGTGAAGTGTTCATCGCGTCGCAGGTGTGTGCAGCAAGCCCTCATCAACTCAAGAAGAATTTATCTTGCAGAATCAAGACAAAAGGCTCAAGATTTCAAGCCGAAGGGAAGTGGATAAATATCAAATAGTGAAAATAGTAATGCTACTTCATGTAGTGTTACATTTCACTTGGTCCAGCCCCTTGTTGAGTTTGTTTCGAGTCTCTTCGTGGTTGGGAACTCTGTGGTGGTGTACTACCACCATGGACCTCGGCTCTTGGGGCTTGTAGAGGCTGAGAACTATCTCAATTTCGATTCTTCTTGCTAAGGTTGTACTTCTAAGACTTTAGTGCCCGCTATACCTCCTGCCAGTCAAACCGCCATAGCGTCGTCAGATCTTCGTGGAATTTCATGATTCAACTTGCTACTGATAGGCGACAGCAACGCGCTCCAGATCCAACTTACAGATCACCGTTTGAGGCACACATCAGATCGGTATCAATATTTGAAGCCGTCTGACGGAACTCCGACTGTGATCTATATCTCTCATTTTAGGCACATCTGAGCCTATTGTGATTATTACAGCTGCGGGCGGCACGTGCGGCTGCCACCGGAGGAGGAGGTGCTGGTGCGACGGCGGGAGGAGTAGACATGGTCAAAATGCGATGCGATGCGTTATCACATCGCATTCTCTCTTATCGCGCATTATATCGCAGCGATGCGATATTGCATCGCTGCTATATGTTACAACGCATATCGCGTTTTAGGGGGCAATATTTAAAAATATTGCCTAAAAAAAGCGATGCATCGCGCGATGCGATATGATATCGCATCGCATTTAGGGGCCACTGTTTTCCCTCCCTAAAAAAACGTGTTCCCACACCACAGGGCACGACAATGGCGACTCTCATAGGTTCGCGCAGAATTAGGTAAGTGAATTGACGGGAGATGGGAATATTGTGGTCCCTCTCTCATGTGGAGCATGTTTGAGGGGAAGGGGTTGGATTCTGTAGATGCAAGGGAGTTTAGTGCGATTGAAGTGGTGGAAATCGGTCGGAGTTCCAACCAATTGACTTTGGGGGTCGAGATTTCAGTCCAACCCCCTAAATCCCTTCAACCGCACACCACCACATCCCATCCAGAAATCCACTCGCCCACCGCCCACCACCAGCCATAACAGATTTGAACCCCCACCAAACTCCCCTCCCTCAACCACACTGCACTCCTTCCCATCTAGAATTTTCAACCCTTCCTCTAATGTGCTCCAAGCTCTGCTCCTCACACAAACTCCTCCCCCCAAACTGCCGCTTGCCATTTCCCCGCACCATTCAGCAAGAGAAACCTAGACTAGCTTACCATCTATTTTCGCTAAGTTCAGGGCCCTCGCCCTTGTCCCCCCCCTTGCTGGCGAAATTCCGCAACGCTATACGCGAAAGTATCGCGCGCGATCTCTATTTATCGCTTATCACATTTTATCGCCCAAAAAATAGCACGATAAAAACGCAATATCGCAAATATCGCGCGATATTATCGCATCGCATCGTCGCCGCGATATTCTAAAAAAAAAAAAAAAAAAAAAAAAAATCGCTATCGCAAAATGCGATGCGATTTAACCATGTCTAGGGCGGAGCGTACGGCTGCCGCCAGAGGAAGAGGTGCAGCTGCTACGGGCGGCGCGTGCTGCTGCCGCCGGAGGAGGAGCTGCTGCAGGGGGAAGGGAGGTGTGAGGGGTGGCTGGAGGGCCCGGAGGAAGAGGAAAGGACGTGAGAGGGGTGGCGGTAGGCTTGAGCAAAACCGGAAATTACCCGACCCGACCCGGTTTTGCAATACCCGACCTCGGGTGGGGTAATTTTGGGTCGGGTCCGGGTCAGGTAATATGCCCAGGACCCTTACCCAGACCCGGCCTTACAGGGCGGGTAACACAATACCCGCCTGGCGGGTCCGGGTATACCCGACCCGGTTACCCTGAAAAGCGGGTAATACTACTCGCCACCTATTAGTGGACATCCTAAAGTTGGGCTAGGCTAGGTAGGGTTCCTGAAAACGCGACTCTCAAATGAGAGTCGCGCTTTTTGGGGGTCGAATTTTTACCACCCAACTCCCTCCCTTACACCGCACTGAACTCCTCCCCGTCTACAAACTCCAATTTCCAACCAAACTCCCTCCCTTTCACCGCATTGAACTCCTCCCTGTCTACAAACTCCAACATTTCCAACAAAACTCCCTACCTTTCACCGCACTGAACTCCTACCCATCTACAAACTCCAACCTCTTCTCCAACTCCCACCCAACTCCCTCCCTTTCACCGCACTTAACTCCTCCCCATTTACAAACTCCAACTTCTCACAAATGCTCCACTCGTCCCCCCTCACCTCCAAAACCGTTTTGCCGCAAAACCTAAAACACAGCGCGACTTACGCCCATGTCTAGGTGGAATACCCGACCTCGGGTATATTTTACCCGACCGGGTCGGGTACTCGTTACCCGACACATCGGGTAGCATTTCGGGTAGCGGGTATTGATACCCGCCCCGGGTAACCCGGACCCGACCCGCCGGGTAATTTTCAGGATTTCCGATACCCGACCCGCCCTAAAAGCGGGTCCGGGTACCGGGTCCCTGACCCAGGCGGGTAGTTTGCTCAACCCTAGGTGGCGGGAGGTCCCCAAGGAAGAGGAAGGGAGGTGAGAGGGGGGCGGGAGGAGCGGAGAGGGGGGGGTTAAGGAGCCGCTGAGGGGAGGGGAGGGGGGGAGGTCGGGCGGAGGGCGGGTTAAGGAGCCACTAAGGGGAGGGGAGAGGAGGAGGACGAGCAGAAAGCGGGTTAAGGAGCAGCTGAGGGAAAGGGAGGGGAGAGGGGGAGGACGGGTGGAAGGCCACCTGCCTCATGCCGGGGGTTCAGAAACGTCGCCACCACGAGCTCATCGCTGCTGCTGCAATAGTACCGTTCCAGCACGGGGAAGGCGACGCCAACGAGCTGACGGCCGATGAGGCGGGGTGACGGCCATGCCTGCAACGTGTCCATCATCTCGTTGAACTGTGGCACAACAGCAGATGACGTGGGGTAGGAAGAGCCCTCGGCCGCCACCGTGATGGAACTGAACGGTGCCAGGAACTCCACCAGGACATCCAGCGTGTCTCAGTGCGCATCGGTCAAGCGCAACGCAACGTACTTCGCGCGCTCTTCGGCCGTCTCTCCCTAGGAAGTGAGCTAGGGTGCATGGGAGGGGGGGTTGTGGGGAGACAATGGGTGTGGCGGCATGGAAGGAAATGTCACACAAGGGGTGCGCAGGATCATTCGCGCACGCAATGGATCGGTGGAGTGGGCTTTTGTAAAGAGGGTACCTGCTCCACTGCGAAGTGCGCAGTGAGGGATCGGCGGAGCCTCAATGCTTCCGCGACCATCTCGTGCGTGCTGCCCCAGCGAACCTCGCTGTCCTGCACCAGGCGGAGGACCGTCCCTTTGAGGACGGGATCGGACCGCTGCTGCGCTTCAAATTCGCGCGTGCACCTCTCACTCCATCCCACAAAGGTGGCAATGTCGCGTAGAAGCTTCAGCGGCACCCTTACTGCTGGCAGCTTCAGCTCACGCTGGACTGCAAGGTTCAGGGTGTGCGCCAGGCAGCTACATGTACGAAGGCGCACACGGGGGGGGGGGGAGAGGGGAGGGAAATCCTTAAGGACCCTCCATGCCATTGAGAGGGGAGGCGCGGATCGTCTGAACAGCAGCACACTGGGTGGACAAGACAAGGGCTGCAAGCGCGACACGCACTAACTGGAAATGCATGCCATCTGCGAGGAGAGGCGTGGCCAACGCCTAAGTGGAGAAATACGCTTGGGCAGCCTAGCGTATTGCGTACATACGCTAGCGTATAATACGAATACGCTGTACGCTAGCTAAGTACGCAATACGCTAGCGTATTTCTTGGCGGGCAGCCCGGCAAGAAATACGCAAAAAACGATGCGACAAATTTGCGACATGACGAAACCCCACAGGGATTTCGCCATGTCGCAAACCGAAATTTGGCTTTTCAAATCGTCAACCCAACCCCTTCGCCCCTCCCAACCACACAGCATCCCACCCAATCTGCGACTTCCAAGCAACACCCAAAGAAATCTCCTTCCTCTCCCTCTCTACTCTACTCCAGCAGGGTTCAGCGCAGTGCACTCCTACGACGAAATCAGGGTACAAGTAAACTGGCGCGCTAACTTCAGTCATTTCTACTTCCAAGCTAGCGCGACTAGCTAGCTGGTTTTTTAGCGACTGTTGCTATGTCGAACCCTCCACCTAGTCCTGGTTCCCACGGAACCGACGCGGGAACCTCCTGTGCTGCGTCTTCCTCTGACGAGCTCCTGGAGAACTCCACCCACGCTATCTTTAAGCATTTCAAGTTTAAGCATAAGGAGCACGGCAAGCAGCAAAAGTATTGGTGCAAGTACTGCCCCGTATCCTTTACCGGGACGGCCTACCGCTGCGCACAGCACATCACTAGTTGGGATGGTATGCGTAGGCGCGAGGTTCGGAAATGCGAGGAGGTAGGGAAGGAGGAGCAGGCTGCCGTCCGCGCGTTCCAAACCGCCAAAGTGCTCGCGAGGGAGGAGGCGCATAGGGCGGAGGAGTCGGCCCTCGACGCCGTTAGTGGTCGGGGAAAGCGGAAGATCACCGATTACCTGTCCGATGACGCCCAAGCGGCCAAGGCGGCGGCGGACGAGGCTATTTGCCTCCTCTTTGCCGGCCTCCGCCTTCCCGAGCGCCATGCCGACCACCCGCTTTGGCGCAACGCCGTCCGGTCCATCGCGCGCGCGGGGACCAGCTATGTGCCTCCAAAGCGCGACTACGTGGGTGGTGCCGGCTTGCAGCTATGCCGCAAGCGGATTGACGAGGGATTGACGGGCGTCATGTCGAGCTGGAAGCGCCACGGCGTGACGATTGCCAGCGACATGATGACCGACAAGTGTGGCAGGCCGCAGGCGAATGTGATGCTGGTCAATGACACCGGTGCAGTGTTCGTCGAGAGTATTGACTGCAAGATGGAGAAAAAGACCGGGGGATACATCGCCCGGCTCCTCCGGCCCATCCTGCAAAAGGTTGGGGTCGAGAACATCGTGGCATTCTGCACCGATGGCGGCAGCAACTACCACAGCGCCTGCCGGCTCCTCATTGCAGAGAATCCGCGCATCGAGCATGTGCCGTGTGCGACGCACGTGCTCGACCTCCTTATGGAGGATGTGGGACGGCAGGCTTGGGCCAAGGAGGTAGTGGGGCGGGCGAGCGAGCTCATCAACTACACCCGCAGCCACCATTGGACCCGACAGTATCTCAGGGGTGTGGACGGAGGGAAGGGGCTGCAGATGCTGAGGCCGGCGGGGACCAGGTTTGGGACGCAGCACATTGCTGTGTCCCGCCTGGTGGAGTTGCGGTCAACGCTGGTGACCATGGTGCTCTGCGATGCATGGAAGGCGGAGTGGGCGGTGGGCCCAAAGAAGGCAGCTGCAGAGACATTCCACGACCAGATCATGGATAAGGACTGGTGGCCAGCGGCTGAGCTCTTCAAGAGGCTGCTCCTGCTCCCGTTCAAGGCCATGAGGGCGACGGATTCGGCAACGAAAGGGATGATGGGCCGCATCTATGAGCTGATGCTTGAGCTCACTGTGAATGTGGCAGAACTGCTGAAGGAGGAGGGGGATGGGGTGCTGAGTGCGGGAGACAAGAAGGGCGTCAATGAGATTGTGAAGCGGCGTTGGGATGAGAGTATGGCTTGCCCACTGCACGTGGTCGGGCGGATTCTTAACCCGGTCAACCAGGAGGAGCAGATTTTTGGGCCGGACACGGAGTGCACCAATGTGTTCAAAGCTTTCATTGCCCGCCACTATGGCGGGGTGATGATTCCCCAGAGGGATGGCCTGCCCAAGCGTGCCACACTCCTCCTGCAGGAAGGGTTGGCCGCCTTTCTGAAGTTGAGGGGCAGCTTCGGCACGGCTGAGGCCATCAGTGACCGGAAGTTGGTGAAGGAAGGAAATTATTCCATGGAGGCGTGGTGGGAGTGGCACGGCACTGACCACCCCTTGCTCATGGCCCTTGCTTGCCGTGTGCTAACTCAGCCGGTGTCTGCATCCAGCTGCGAGCGCAACTGGGCGGTGTGGGATACTGTCCACACCGCCCGACGCAACCGGCTGGGTTCAGAAAAGTGCAAGGATCTGGTTTACGTTGCGCACAACTGGAAGGTTGTGCACAACTGGCACATGGCCGACGAGGGGGCGGGGGTGGTGTCCGGTAACATCCCGGACGCCCCCGTCCCTGCGGGGTACAGGGTGGATCGGGAGGAGGAGGATGAGGAGGGCGAAGATGAGGAGCTGCTGGACGAGTACCTGTAGAGCAGAGCAGGAGAGGGTTAGGCGGGCGGTTTGGGGGAGGCTTACCTGAGATGGGTGGTTGGCTGGTTGTTGGAGTTTGGAACCCTTGACATGCCCTTGGTGGCTTGAACTATTTATTTATTACCATGCTAAATGATGCACATTTGGTGGGGGGAATTTGGTGCTCTGAACCCCCCCTCTTCCCTCCCCAAACAGGTTTTTTTTACCCCTGCCCGAGTTGTTTTATACCTGCCCGCCAGAGCGTATTTCCTAGCGTATCCAATCCCATAATGAAGCGTACAGCGTATATACGCTAGCGTATAATACGCTTGCGTATAATACGCTGGACGCGTATTTCTCCACTTAGCTAATGACAGCAGCAGTGGGCTTTTTGAGTCGACTCAAAAGTCTCCCCTTTCGTTGTCATCTTTCTTCCCCCTAGTCCCTCCCCTTCCATCCTTCCTTCCATCTTGCTGTAAACCGTGGGAGTCTATTTTTGAGGCGCCTCAGAAATCTACTTCATTTTCCACAACAGTAACTGTGGGCCTTTCCACATCCACTGGCATGACAACTGTCTCACCTTATTCGTACCCCCTTCCTCCTTCCCTTACCCCTCCCTTCCCTCTTCGTCCCTCACTCCCTCACTAGTAACCGTGGGTCATTCCACTGTCATGACAGCTGTCACCTTCTTCGACCATCCTCCCCAAACTCTTCAACCCCCAGCTCAGGTGCTCTTCTCACTGAGAGCTCCCCTCTCCGCGTGCTCGTCTCATTGCCTCTCCTCTTCAAGTCCCCCTGAAACTAGGCTTCTTGCTGTCTCCTTCTTCGCCCATCCCTCCCCAAACGCGCCAGCCCCCATCTCAGGCGCGCTTCCCATCGTGCACTCTCCCCTCTTCTCTGTTTTTTATCGCTTTTTCGAACTCTCAACAGCACTACTCGCAATCTCATGTGGCTATTCATTTCCCATGGTGGTGTTCCTCCTCCCCTCTTCCCTTCCGTCCTCCTTCCTTCCCTTTGGCACTACCAGCATCACCATTTGATTTCTCTCTTGACTACCCCTATGTGGTGAGTTCCCCAGTGTACGGTGCTGAGTTGCCCCAGAACATCTGATAAATTCCCCTGGGTATGGTGGTGAGTTACCCCAGAACATCTAATAAATTCACCAGGGTACAGTGGTGAGTTACCCCAGAACCATCTGATAAATTCCCCAGGGTACGGTGGTGAGTTACCCAAGAAAGATCTGATAAATCACTCCAGTGGATGGGTGCCTTTTCATACCGTTCCTCTTCCTCTTTTGCCGCTGCCAGCTCTGGCGGCCTGTCTTCCTCAAAAACATCTCTCCTTTTGCTGCTTGAACTGGCCTATTCACTTCTTTTGTCTGGAGAGAAGCTCACAAGACATCCCTCCAGGACCGGGGTCTGATCAGCGGAGCCCCGACGCATCTGAATTTGCCTTTTACTGCATGAACTAGCTCTTTCTCTTCTTTTGTCTGCAGGACAATCTACAAGACAGTCCTGCAGATTTAGCACCTGATCAGCAGAGCCCTGACGCGTCTGAGTCTGCATCCCACGCACACTTTGCCCTCCTCGTGTTCGAATCCGAGGTATCTTTTATCTCTTTTCGCACTTTGAGAAATTGCAGAAAATCTGAGACGTGCGAGAATCATCACGAAGCATCACCCAGGCATTTCTCGTGGTTGGGTCAGTGGTGTTTATGAGTCCTTAGCTTGGTTTCACCCACGCAGTTCTTGTGCATGCCTGCAGGCTGCAACCCTCCACGTTGCTGGGTATTTTTGAGAATTCTCAAAAATAGCATGCCTGCAAACTGCAACCCTCCACGTTGCTCAAGAAACATCGGATCATTGTGATTTCGTATGGTGAATCGTGATTTTTCAATCGAGTAAAGAATGCCGAGCCAATAGATTCTCAACAGTCATTTAAGTCTGTCCTCATATTTGGCATGGCATGGCATGGCATGGCGTGGCATGGCATGGCATGACCTGGTATGTTACGGCATTACATATATCATGGCATGGCATGGCGTGGCATGACATGGCATGACCTGGTATGTTATGGCATCGCATATATCATGGCATGGCACGACATGGCACGGCATGGCACCTGTGTATCCATGCAGATCGCCTGTCCAAGTGACGCGTTACTCATAGCATCTCGGCTCGACTCGGACATCCGTAAGACACATCAGTACCATCCATCCGGCTGCTTTGACATGTGCTTGATCAATATGTGTACAAGTCACATATGTCACACATGCGTTGATAGATGTCCGTGCAAGAGTTTTATCTTTTTTCACATCCTTCAACCCCCCTCCCTCCGCCATGCAGACTCCAACACATGCTGCATGGCATTCTAAGGCCGCATAGTCTCACCTTGCGTCCTTGCGTCCTACCTTTTTCTCTCCCCTCCCTCCTATATCCACCATCGAACCCAGACTCCAACACATGCTGCATGGCATTCTAAGGCCGCATAGTCTCACCTTGTGTCCTTGCGTCCTACCTTTTTCTCTCCCCTCCCTCCTATATCCACCATCGCACCCAGACTCCAACACATGCCGCATGGCATTCCATGGCCACATCGTTGCCCCCATTGATCCAACCACAATGAACTCAGGCTCTCAGGTATGGGACCAAGGCGCGGAACTCGGTCTGGACACAGGTACAGCAAGATCCATCATGGTCAGGTTTTATTTCTATAAAAACCTGGCCACTATTATAGCCCCTCGACCGCTCTGGCATCCCTTTTCCAGTGCCACAATCATTTCGATCCTACCCCATGTCGCTCCTCCCCATGTCTCATTGTTATCCATCAGGCCATGCGTGTGTTCAAGCTTAAGACCAGGGAGGGGGTGATCGGCCAGGTGTGGTTTGATTATCACTCCTTCATTGCTGTCTCCCTCACACGCTCATTCGCCCCCTCTCCTCTCTTCTCTCTTCACCCCCTTCCAGGCCGTGCGTGTGTTCAAGCTGAAGAGCAGGGAGGGGGTGATCGACCGGGTGGTTGATTCCCACTCGCTCATCGGTCGAGGCCTCTTCAAGAAAGAAACGGACATCACCAAATTCGTGGGGCTCAGAGTCACAACCGTGGAAGGTGCGTGGGTGGGTGCTGGGCTGTACGTGCATCTCCCTTCCCTCCTGATGACTGGTTGACTCCCACTCCCTTATCGGTCGAGGACTCTTCAAGAAGAAAACGGACATCTCCAAGTTTGTGGGGCTCAAAGTAACAACTGTAGAAGGTGGGGCGAACTGACTGCTGTGCAGGGTGGGTAAGTGTAAGTCGCGATGTGGTATGGTCAAGTGCATTGAGGTGTGGTCGAGGCATCTTCAAGAAGGAAGCAGACATTACCAAATTCGTGGGGCTCAGGGTCACAACCGCGGAAGGCGGATGGGTGGGTGCCGGGCTGCATGTGCGTCTCCCTTCTTTCCTGCATGACCGGGTGGTGGATTCCCGCCCGCTCATCGGTCGAGGCCTCTTCAAGAAAGAAACGGACATTACCAAATTCGTGGGGCTCAGAGTAGCAACCGTGGAAGGTGCGTGGGTGCAAGCAATGCTGTATGTGGGGCGTCAAGCCTCTTTCCCAGTCGCTCTTCAGTCGAGAGCTCTTCAAGAAAGAAACGGACATTTCCAAATTCGTGGGGCTCAGAGTCACAACCGTGGAAGGTGGGTGGGTGGGTGCTGGGCTGTATGTGCGTCTCCCTTCTCTTCTGATGACTGGTTGACTCCCACTCTCTTATCGGTCAAGGGCTGTTTAAGAAAGAAACTGACATTTCCAAATTCGTGGGGCTCAGAGTAACAACTGTGGAAGGTGCGTGGGTGCAAGCAATTCTGTTTGTAGGGCGTTAAGCCTCTCTCCCCCCATCCGGCACCTCAGCTTGTTGGTTCCCACTCGCTCATCAGTCGAGGGGTGTTTAAGAAAGAAACGGACACTTCCAAATTCGTGGGGCTCAGAGTAACAACCGTGGAAGGTGGTTGAATAGTGGGTAGGCACGCTCCATGGTGCTCGGATGAAGTTGTGTTGAATCATGGTCTTGGAAGAGCAGCAGTACAAAGGCGGTCGCTTGAGCAAAAAGAAAGAGAGTGTTAGGTTGCTCCGATGAGATTGTGTTAATCCACCTACCCATTGACCATCATTTCCTTGGCTTTCCATTGACATTTTGATCAACGGGCCGTCACCATCACCGTGCAAACCATGCACAGAAACATGTTGGGTGAGAAGGGGGGGGGAGGGGGGGGCCAACAGAACAGGACAGAACAGGATTGCGGATAGGGGGGAAAGGAAGCGGGACTGCAGATACTGCCCTCTCCCCTCGTCTGCGTTCTTCTTTCATTCGCAGAAGTGGGACTGCAGCAAGGTGGGGAATTGCTTAGTCTTGGCTTGGCAAGGTGGGGAATTGCTTTTGAGTCGGCTCAGAAGCTTTTCTTTGTTCCGTTGTTTCTTTCCATTTGCAGGAACACAAGGAACGATCCAGTCGCCGTTTGGCAAGTCGGGGAAATTCAAGGCAAGTCCCGTGCTACATCCTGCTTAATTCGCATTGTCTACTTGAATATTTTTCTACTTCCTAACATTTTTCTGCCTCTTCGCCCCCTGCAGCTTCCCTCATCCCGTGCGCCTCCCTCCCCGCTTCAATTCCTTACGCTCTACTCCCTCATTTCCACAGGTTGTGTACCAATCTGTACCACCCAACGAGTCTACCGCCTATGTGCCTTTGCCCCCTTGTCCGCTCCCATCGTCTCCCTCCTTCTCTCCGTGCCTTCCTCCCGTCCAATTCCTCCCCTTGTCATGACTCTTGCCCGCCTCCCCGCCCTCCCCCCTCCCTCGCAGGTTGAGTTCCAAGACTGCACTACCCAGAGAGGCCACAGCTAGTGCGCCTCTGCATCTGCCCCCATTTCCCCACTCCCTCCAAACCCTTTTTCCCCCCAATCCCTACCCTTGTCATCCCCCACCCCCGCGCCTCCTCCCCCTCTCCCTCCCTTGCAGGTTGTGTTCCAATCCGCACTGCCTAAAGAGGCCATAGCTGGTGCGCCTCTACATCTCGTTTTCAAGCGGCTATTGTTTGATAAGACAAAGCAAATGCTACAGTAGGTGACATGTCACATGAATGCTACAGCATATAATTCTACGCCTGCAACTGGCCACCTTGGGAGTTCTGTACCAGTGCTCATTACAGTAGAAGAGTGAAGGCTACACCACACTGGCAATTCAGTTTTTCAAGCACCCATATTCGGTACCAATACACTACCATGGAGAATGTGGAATGTGCTGTTAGGGTGAATATTTCTGTATGACCTACATTCAAACTTTGCATGCTCTACAGTCCGTAGTGTTAAATTATATATATTATATATATAATTGTAAGCTTGGTAGGTGTTACTGGAACATACTGAAGAGGGTACTGTTAAGTTATATATTTGATGTCTATAATGGTAGGCTTGGTAGGTGTTACTGGATCCTACTGTAGAGGGTACAACCCCCCTTCTTGTATCCCTCTCTCTTCTTTTCAAAGCCCCTTTTTCTTCTCTCGGCATTTCTCCTTTCTAAACCTCACTCCATTCCATAGCTTACTTTAACATGGTTTCAGAGCAGGTTGCTCTTCCTGGGCCTGCTTATCACGCTTCCGCCGCTCACTCCTCCTCTCTCTCTCTCTCTCGCGCTGCCATGGCGGCCGCATCGTGCTGCTGTGGCGGCGTCGTCGTGCCGCTGGGAGCGTCGTGCTGCCGTGGCCGTCTCGACGCGCTGCCGTGGCGTCGCGCTGTCGTGGCGTCGGCGTCAAGCCGTGGCGGCGTCATCGACGTCGAGCCTTGGCGGCGTGACGGCGCCATCGTTCTGCCATGGCGACGTGCTGCCAGCGCACGTACGGCACGGACGGCAGCGGCCAGCGCCCCGACTTAGCGCTGGCCAGCACGCCCGCATGCAGCCAGCGCGCCACACGGGGCGGCACGCTCCCGGGCTCCGCTGCTGAAGCCCCGCCCCCTTCCCCTGCGTCCCCTCTTCCTCGTCGCGGCCGACGGCTGACTCGCACCGGCCGTCCCACCGTCGCGGAGCCCGGCCACGCCGCCGAGTGCTGCGAGCTCCACCGCTGCAGGCAGCTGTCGTCGAAGCAGCCGCCGCCGCAGCTGGTGCCGCTGGCCACGCCGCCGCCGCCGCCACTGTTGACGCTGCCGTCGTCGCCGCCGTTGCAGCCGCTGCCCTCGCTGTCGACGGCGCCGCCTCACGCACCGAGGGGCTGATTCTGCTGGAGTAGCCGCTGCTGCTGTTGAGTATGGGGGTGCTAGGTTTAGGGGGTGTGTGGCTTAGTGTGCTGTGTGTGTGGTGGGATTTCAGCTACCAAGCCTAGGGGGTGTGTTAAAATATATATTTGACACATATAATGGTAGGCTTGGTAGGTGATACTAGATCCTACTGTAGATGGTACAACCCCCCTTCTTGTATCCCTCTCTCTTCTTTTCAAAGTTCTCTTTTCTCTCGACATTTTCTCCTAGCCTAAACCCCCACGCCATTCCATGGCTTCTCTTCCTAGCTAGCTACTTTGACAGGTACAACCCCCTTCTTGTATCCCTCTCTCTTCTAGTCCAACCCTCTTCTCTCTCAATATTTTTCCTCCTAGCCTAAAACCTCACGCTACGCTCCTATGCCTAGCTCCTAGTTCCTAGCTATCTCAGCATGGTACCAGAGCGGGTCCTTCTGTTCGGGCCTGCGCATCACTCTTCCGCAACACTCGCCCCTCACTCTCCCTCATGCCGTTTATGCGCCGCCGCCACGGCCATGTCGGGCTGCTGCGACGGTGTCGTCGTCCTGCCATGGCGGCTTCAACGCGCCAGCGCACGGACGGCACGGGCGGCAGCGGCCAGCGCCCAGCCTTAGTGCTGGCCAGCACACCCGCATGCAGCCAATGCGCCACACGGGGCGGCACGCTCCCTGGCTCCGCTGCTGAAGCCCCGCCCCCTTTCCCCTGCGTCCCCTCTTCCTCGCCGCAGCTGACGGCTGACTCGCGCGGGCCTTCCCACCGTCGCGGAGTCAGGCCACGCCGCCGAGTGTTGCGAGCTTCGCTGCTGTCGTCGAAGTCGCCGCCGCCGCAGCTGCCGTCATCGCCGCCGTTGCAGCCGCAGCCCTCGCTGCCGACGTCGTCGCCTCGCACGCCGAAGGGTTGACCATGCTGGAGAAGCCATCGCTGCTGCTGAGTATGGGGGTACTAGGCTTAGGGGGTGTGTGGCTTAGTGTGCTCAGTGCGTGGTGTGCTTTCTACTACCAAGCCTAGGGGGTGTGTTAAATTATATATATTATACATATATATAATTGTAGGCTTGGTAGGTGTTATTGGAACCTACTGTAGTGGGTACAACCTTCTTGTATCCCTCTCTCTCCTAGTCCAACCCTCTTCTCTCTCGCCTAAAACCTCACGCTATGCTCCTATGCCTAGCTCCTAGTTCCTAGCTATCTCAACATGGTATCAAAGCGATCTAGGGTTCAATTCCTGGTGTGCACGCTATCCCACTGGGGGGGGTGTGTCGTGGCACTGGGATAGCCCTGTCGAACCTCTTCTCTCTCAAGGGAGGGTACTAGGGAGGCTTTCCCTAGGGAATGTGGATACATGGGGCCTTAGAGCATGTTCCTACCAGCCTCTTCACAAGCAACCTCTTCTCAGACTCGTGTGCTACAGCGTCGCAAATTTTGACGCGAAATGTTTCAGTGCGATTCCGCGAAGTGCGAGGTGAGATTCGCCTTCCCGAGATTCAGGGGTGTGTTACAAAACCTCTTTTCAGACGAGCAGATTTTCAGACAAGCGCAAATCTGCACAGTAAATTTTCGACGCCAACTGGTTTTATGTGGTTGAGAGCGGTGGAACGCAAATATGAAACGGGAGTATTTCTAAAAGTGGTTCTGGGAACACGCTCTCAAGGTCACGCGGGAGTCTAGGAAGAGGTTGCCTGGGAAGAGGCTCGTAGGAACACACTCTTATGCGTATTCCTACAGCCTCTTCCCAGCCCAACCTCGTCCCAGACTCGCACGCTACAGTGTCGCGTAATTTTGACGCGAAACAGTTTAGTGCGGTTCCGTGTGCTGTGACGCGAGATTGGGATTATCGAGATTCAAGGTATGTTTTTAAATCTCGTTTCAGGCGCCAAATTTTCAGACGCGCGCGAATCTGTAAAGTGCGATTCTTGTTAGAACACTAGAATGACTAGAAACAAGGGTGAACAAGGGAAATATAGGGTTGGAGTTGTACTCTCTAAGAACATACACCTATCTAGACTATAACTTCTACATACTAACATATGTATAAGTTGACACACCCCCTCGGCTAGATAAGGGGTAGTGCTGAGCAAGAAAAACGCAGCTCAGGGTGGCACTACTAGTCCAACCTCTGAGGCAGGGGTCCGAAGACTAGTCAACAAACTCAACAAGAGCAAACCAGGGTGGCACTACTAGTCGGCCACTAGAACAGAAGCCACAAGGCCAGTCTGAAAGGTATAAATATAGAGGAGTACACAATCAAGGTCCTAGCAAGTGAGAGTTTACAAGAACTAGACCAAGCTGCAAACAGTGTCGTTGATGATCTTTTGGCACAAGCGCCTTAGTAAAGATATCAGCTGTGTTGGCACCGGAGGCCAAGTGTACTACGCAGGCCTAACGACGCTGCTGTAGCTCGTGCAGGAGGAAGTAACGCAGCTGGATGTGCTTCGCTCTGCCCTCAAGTCGAGGCTCCTGACACAGGAGGATCATGGCCCTGTTGTCAGCGTACAGAACCGGGGCAGAGCTAGGCCGCTCACCTGAGTCGGCGAGCAAGAAGGTCAGCCAGCGGAGCTCCTGTACCGCCATGGCACTGGCGTAGATCTCAGCCTCACAGCTAGATTGGGCAACAGACGAGGAGCGAGTGGACCTCCACGAAATGGCCCCTGAACCAAGGCTAAAGCAGTAGTCCTGGGAGGACCTGAGCGTCTCAGCGTCGTCTGCCCAAGAAGCATCAGTGTGCCTAATAAGGACCACTGGCCTGCGTCCTCCCACCACTAACCCCATGCCCGATGTACTTGTTAGATAACGCAAAACCCTCTTAGCAGCCGACCGGTGCGGTGGTCGGTGTCTACCTGTGGCCACAAAGCGAGTCATGATGCTGAGAGGGTATGCGAGATCTGGACGAGTGCAAGTCATCAGGTACGTGAGGCAACCCACCAGCTCTATGTAAGGACCACTGGGCTCTACTGACTCCTCAGGAATTGGAGCAGAGAGCCTGTGATCTACTGGCAAAGGTGTGGGCTGTGCAGAGGAGAACTAAAGACCGAACCTCTAAAGGACCTGGTGCACCAAGTGTGACTGTGTGAAAGTGATGGTGTGCGCTGCTCTGTCCCTAGGGATCTGCACGCCAAGGTAGCGGCACAGCTCTCCTAGGTCATTGCAGGTGTGTCTCCTCAGCAGCTCGGCCTTCACAGAGGCCAGTACATATAAATATATGTATAAGTTGACACACCCCCTAGGCTAGATAAGGGGCAGTGCTGAGCAAGAAACACGCAACTCAGGGTGGCACTACTAGTCCGACCTCTGAGGTAGGGGTCCGAAGACCAGACAACAAGAATACAAACTCAACAAGAGCAAACCAGGGCGGCACTACTAGTCCGGCCACTAGAACAAAAGCCACAAGGCCAGCCAAGAAGGTATATATATAGAGGAGTACACAATCAAGGTCCTAGCAAGTGAGGAGCTACAGGAACTAAACCAAGCTGCAAACAATGCCGCTGATGATCTTTAGGCGCAAGCGCCTTAGTAAAGATACCAGATGTGTTGGCACCGAAGGCCAAGTGTACTACGCGGGCCTGGCGGCGATGCTGTAGCTCGTGCAGGAGGAAGTACCGCAGCTGGATGTGCTTCGCTCTGCCCTCAAGTCGAGGCTCCTGACACAGGAGGATCATGGCCCTGTTGTTAGCGTACAGAACTGGGGCAGAGCTAGGCCGCTCACCTAAGTCGGTGAGCAAGAAGGTTAACCAGCGGAGCTCCTGTGCCGCCATGGTACCGGCATAGACCTCAGCCTCACAGCTAGACTGTGCAACAGACGAGGAGCAAGTGGACCTCCACGAGACGGCACCTGAACCAAGGCTAAAGCAGTAGCCCTGGGAGGACCTGAGGGTTTCAGCGTCGTCTGCCCAAGAAGCGTCTGTGTGCCCGGCAAGGACCACTGGCCTGCATCCTCCCAGCACTAACCCCATGCCCGATGTACTTGCTAGATAACGCAAAACCCTCTTAGCGGCCGACCAGTGCTGTGGTCGGTGTCTGCCTGTGGCCACAAAGCGTGGCAGGATGCTGAGAGGGTATGCGAGACCTGGACGAGTGCAAGTCATGAGG